CAGCACATTTTAATGCCTTATTTTTCTTCCAAAATTGGCCCGAGTCAGTTTCTGCTGCAGCTGAGAATGTCACCTGGAAGGAGGATGGCTCGAGAATGGCTCCCCCAGGTGACCTCAGGGATGGGGCCCCAGGATGCGACAGAGGCTGATGCAGTGAAGGTCACCATCTCCTACCTCACAGCTCAATATTCTGTTTGACCATCATGTGTCCCTGCAGTCCAGGGTGTCGGGGGCGGGGGGTGAGGGTGAGTGGGGCAGGCGGGGTCTGGTCTTCTGGGCTCGTGCGGCACCTCCTGCCTCTGGCTCTCAGCTCACATGCTCTCCGTCCCCTGCCCAACCCAAGGTCCTACGTCCAAGTGCCAGCCCAGTGCAGGAGCCCCAAAGGGTTGGACTGTCCAACAGGGACGAGGGTCCTGTTTGTCCTGAGACATGGAGGACATGAGGCAGCAGTCCATCCTGCACACGCATGACCTCGTCACGTCATGAAGACCTGACCCCACCCCAGTCACCTCCCCCAGATGACCGCAGTGAGGGCCTGACCCCACCCCAGAAGCCCCCCAGAGGACCGCAGTGAGGACAGCAATGGGGTGGACGGCTGTGGCTCCAGCCTGAGGTCCTGCACTGAATCTCAGCCCCACATGTGACTTCACACGCTGTGACCTTCAAGGCTACACCTGGCCACCTTACTCAGCCTCACCTGCTCACTGCAGAGTGGGCGGCATCTCGGCGTCCCTCCCGAGATGGCTCCCATGAGGGATCCCATCTCAGGGCCGTGGGGGATGGCCGCTTCCTCCCTCCCCCGGACACGGACGTGACATCCAGGCCAGTCACTCGGCCACTGCTGCTCCTCTCATTTTTAAAATGAGGGTCAATAACAACTGCCATGTTCTACTCGGAGCTTTGAAGACCCACTGGACGGTCGTTTCTGTAACCCATAAATGTCTATCTTCTCAGAGTGAAGAGTTATATAGAAAAGGAGGTTTTTTACAAAAAAATAATAAGGCCTTATTATTCTACCTGTAATGATTCAGTTTCGATGATGTGGCATTATGGATGTCCTACTGGATAGAAACTTGATACTGAAAGCAAATGAAGCAGAGAAACATCTGTGTATCAGGTACAGTCAGCAACATGCCCAGGTCTGCAGGAGGGACTCCCCTCGGGTACCACCCCCAGGCTGCACCAGGCGGCCCGTGCTGCTGTCGAACACGGTGGCAGTGATGGAGGAGCTCTGGGACTTCACCCTGAATCACCAGCTCCGGGGAAGCTGCAGCCATCCTGGGGTTTCTCAGGCAACCTCGAGACAAAGCACTGAGATTCCAGCCATGACCACATGAGGCGGCCATGCCCTCTGCTAACAGAGGTCATCCTCTGGACGACCACAGCGCTGGCAATGATAGGGCCTGAGCTGGAACCAACTGGTGAGTGCTCCCAGGCCCAGCCCACAGAAACTGTGATATAATAACTGCTTGTTGTCTCAGGGTGCTATGTTTGGGGCGATTTGTTATTTAGCAGCTGGTAGCTAATACATTACCTAATTGATCCAGACAATCACACACACACGTGCACACACACATTCATGACAAGTCCTTGGCCCACGATTTCAACCTGATAATTCTACTGCATCTGAGAGTCCTCGCCCCAAGTTGTTCACACAAAGGGCCCGTCCCAACCTGTTGTCCTTTAGTTCTTCAACGAAGACACTTTAGTCCCCACTGCCCAAGATCCACTCACCTCATGTCAACTTTCATTATACACCGAAGAGCGTATTCAAGTTTGAAGGAAAGAGACTCTTGTGCTCTTCAAGTCTCTATCAAGGAGAGGCAAATACAAATGAAAGCACCTGCCCTACTAACGAGAAAAGCCCTCCCTAGGATCTCCTAAGGGAGTGAAAGGAGATTCCAAATATTCTGATCTGTGGAAAGCCTGCTAGGCAGGGTAAGGGTAATGGATGTGTAGTGCTTTGTCTGTTGGTTAAAGAGATTCTTCTGAATAATTTATAGCATGAGCTATTATCAAAAACAAATCAAAGAACCGAAACGAGTGAACGATAATGCGTATTATGAATTCTTACTCTTTGAAATATATGGGAGATTTTATAAAAGTCCAAATATACTGACTATTTAGTATTTAAGTAAAACACAGTATATAAACATATTCATAAAGATTTAAAAGATTATGCCTCGGTCTGTCACGACCTATTAAATTCTACATCCATCATTTAGTTAATCCCCAAATTCTTTGCCATCATCATGAGATGAAACACCCTTGCTCAACAAAATGATTTGCTTACTTACATAAAATGAGTCATGAAATAAAACTTTATTTCTGGTTTAGACTATAAAATCCAAAAGCTGAGTAATGCTGTCATGAAACAAAGTGCTCTACATAATAATAGTAATGATACCAGCTAAAAATATTGAAGATGACTTAAGAAAAATCAGCAGGCAGAAACTAGACTATGTAGGTGTGCCACAACATTTAATTTGGGGTGGTGGTCTGTGATCTGAGTTACTGCAATGGTTTTCAAACAAGCTTGGCATGCTGCATTCTGGACCTCAGTCTATTACATAATGAAAAACTTCCTCATAACACCATTCAGAAACTAGAAGCATGGCCTGTGGATGTCTGAGGAAGGCAAGTACTCATGGAAAATGTGGCCTTCTTTTCAGATTTTGTAGAGAAACAGATCAAACAAAAGTACACTGGTGCAGGAAAAATATACTTTGATCCTTATTTTACACCACCCACCAGAATTAATTTGAGATGAGTCATAAACTAAAATGTAAAAGCTAAAACCATGAAGCTTTTAAAGCAGAGCGCAGGAATATCTTTGTGACTTCAGCTAAGCAAGGGTTTTTCAGACAAGATATGGAAAACAATCATCACAAAATAAAAATGACTAGTCTTCATCAAAATTTTAAACTGTGGTCATTAAAAAATACCATTAAGATAATAATTAGGCAAGAAACAGACTGGAAGAAATTATTTGCAAAACAAATATTCACATTCTATAAAGAGCTCCTAAAACTCAATAAAAATAAAAGCATGTGAGAGATTCCAACACTTTACAAAAGAAGGGAAACGTGTGAAAAATGTTTAACATTAGCACCGAGGAGGGAATTGAAAGTGAAAACTGCCGTGAGGTGCCACTGCACAGCAAGTGGAGGGTCTAACCCTGAGATTCTCTTTTTTCAGCCACGCTGTGTGGCTCATGGGGCCTTACTTCCCCAGCCAGGGATTGAACCTGGACCCTCAGCAATGGAAGGACAGAGTCCTAACTACTGGACCACTAGATCAGGGAATTCCCTAAGACAAAGAAATGTTGACAAGACTTAACATTGGTGAGGATGTAAAGCAATCAGATGGAGGTTTAAAATGGCACAATTACTTTGGGAAAACAGCTCCCAGTTTCTTAAAAACCAAACATACAGCTACATGTGACCTAGCCACCAGGTAATTGCCCAGGAGAAATGAAAATGCATTTCTACAAAGATCTCCATAAGAATGTTTGTAATGGCTTTACTTACAGTAGCCAAAAGGTGAAAACCGCCCACATGTCCATCCATTGGAGCACGTATAAGTTACCTGCAGTGGACTCCTCCAAGGGACTACAATTTAGACATAGAAAGCCATGGACTGGTCACGTGTCCAATAACACACATGGACCCTAAGAGGAATTTGCTAAATAAAAGAAGGCTTTGCACAAAGAGTGCACTCTCTGCGTGTCAGGCTGTCTCAAGTTCTATAGGACAAGTTCACCTGAGGACAGGAGGTGGGGCTGGATAGACATCATACAGCTTTAGGGGTCAGTGGTCATGTTCGACATCTTGATATGTGTTCGGGTCATACTAACACCTCGGTCAAAACTCAGAGGATGTGACCCTTGAGGTTTGCATTTCACTTTGAGTAACTAAGATGGTAAAGAACCTGCTTGCAATATGGGAGACCTGGGTTCAATCCCTGGGTTGGGAAGATCCCCTGGAGGAGGGCTGGCAACCCACTGCAGTATTCTTCCCTGGAGAATCCACGGACAGAGGAGCCTGGTGGGCTACAGTCCACGGGGTCACAAAGGTCAGACACGACTGAGCGGCTAAGCACACAAGGCTCACCTCAAAAGAGAAAAACCTTAAACGGGTATCGAACTCTCTCAAGACTAAGTATTTAAGGAGAAGAGGACATTCTTGTAATTAAAAATAAGATGCTCTGATAGCCAGCTGGAGGAACGGGCAGAGGGCGGGCAGGCTGCACGGCAGGTGTGGCGAGTTCACCCAGCAGGAGAGGCAGCTCTGGTGCACACACCAGGTTTTGCTGTGAAACGTGTTGGGACAGAATTTCTCCAAGGCCATGTGTTTGAAAAACTATACTTTTTAGCATCAAATTCTCATACAGAGTTGGTTTCTTCCTTCTTCTGCCTGCAATGGTCTAGACAGGATGACGGCCAGGAAGGCCTGGCCCTGTGCGTCCGGCCAGCCAGCAAGCCCACATGGCCTGCAGGCCCAGGCCTCATGAAACGCCTAGACACCTCTCCAGCACTGTGCTCACCAAGCCACCTGCAGCTTGTGGGTGGGGACACATGGCAGCCCGTGCAGTTTATAGCTTACAGTTCAAACTCAATCAGAAAACATTGGAGGTAAAACTGAGTGTTTGCGGCAGCCAACAAAACCTTGTTATCACAAATATGAGTAAGTTAGCAAATATATTTACAAGACTTCAGAGTGTGCTAGTGACGAAAGGAGGCAGAGGCCAAAAGTCTGATCTGCTTTGCAAAGACGGTATGATTTGATAATAGAAATAGAGCAAAGGCATAGGAAGCAAGCAGGGGCCACTGAAACGCTGACCGTGAGATGGACTCAGAGCCTGTGAGACAGGAAGCCTCAGTGTGGACCGGGGCTGAGGCCTGCAGGAAGGAGGCTCGACGCAGTGACCGACATCTACCACACAGACCGCAGTTTTCTGGGCCCTCAGACAGTCCTTCCTCCTGACAGCACCGCGGCGGAATGAAGCGGGCTGACTGTGGTCTCGACTGGTGGGGACGCCTGAGACCACGGAGCTGGAGAGTGGCAGGACGAGGCCGCTGGCCCTGCAGCCCAGCTTCCAGGCGGGAGGGGAGCATTGCACAAGCAGACCGTGGGGAGCAGGGATGGGCCGGTGGCTCCATAGGGCTCAGCCAGGAAGTCACGCTGGGTGAGTCAGGAGGAGCTGCTGGGAGCGAACTCTGGAACGGTCCCGTGGGGAAGCGCCCAAGCCTGGGCGCCGGGCTCAGCTCGAGTCCTACCTCACCTCTGAAGCTGCCCTGTGACCTGGGGCAGCTGCAGCACCTCATCCGGAGAACCCAAGAGATGTTCAGCATGGCAGCCTCACACCCTTTCCTTCAAGAGGCGGCCCGAGTTGTCTGAGCCTCAAGCTCCCGGGGTTCAGGGTCCTCCTCTGTGACGTCAGCTTCTCTTGTGATTTCACAGGACAGATCACGGGGTCTCATCACTCTGAGTGGGTTACCAGGGAGACAGGCTGGGCGGGGGGCTTCCTAGGTGACGGGTAGGTGGCAGGCAGCAGGACTGGATTCAAGGCTGGAGCCCAGAGCCTTCTGGCAGCCTGAAACATTCTGAAACACCCGGAAACATCCCGAAACATCCTGAAACATCCCCAAACACCCTGAAACATCCCCAAACACATGGAAACAGCCTGAAATAGCCTGAAACATTCTGAAACATCCCTAAACACCCTGAAACAGCCCGAAACACCCTGAAACATCCCCAAACACCCTGAAACACCTGGAAACAGCCTGAAATAGCCTGAAATAGCCTGAAACATTCTGAAACATCCCCAAACACCCTGAAACAGCCTGAAACAGCCTGAAACAGCCAGAAACACCCCCAAAACATCCTGAAACAGCCTTGAAACACCCGGCCCTGTGATGGCCCCACACCAAGAGTGTCAGCTGGTGCTAACAGCTGTAATAAATCCCCGTGGACGCCTGCAGACCCCACCAGGGTTTCTCAGAACTCAGCTGCACAGCCCTCAGAGTCTCTTCAAGGGAGAAATATTCTGAAGCTGCGGGTGCCAGGTTTCCCCTGAACTGAAACAAAAGTCACCATGAGGCTTGGAGAGGTTGAGAACCTCAGACAGGTCACACACTGTCTGGGTGCAGGAACCGGATGTGAATGGCAGCGTCCAGCCTGTGGTCATCACCCGGAGCTCCACCTGCTCTGCCGTCTAAGCAGAATAGGTCTGCAGACCCAGACATGATGGTGAACTCCCACCAAACCCAGGCCTGGAGCAGGATGGTGGCAGAACCAGGGCGTCCCAGGTGAAGGAAAGCCCCACCCCAGCTCACAGACACAAGGGGCTTCAGATCCGCCCCTCTACCCTCCACCACTGGCTGGGAGAAGCTTCTGCCAGGCACCAGCAGGTCGTGCCGTGGGGCAGGCCTGCACTGTCCCCGGCCCAGGCTGACTGCAGAGCGCCGGGCTCCTGAAGGCGAAGCTGAGAAGGGCTGGAGAGGGCTTTTGTGCAGATGTCGGTTTGGAACAGCGGTCACCGCAGGTGAGGAAGCTCAGAACCAGGCCAGACGCCCCGCGTCCGAGCCCCGGGCAGATGCTTACGGACTCCATGGGCTCCAGCCCCTGCACCCCGGCACCTCCGGCTCCCAGCTCCGGGCGAGGCCTAAGGACCAGGCCTTGGAGACGGTCTCTGCATGGACGCCAGCCCCCAGCCCGGAGGATGGGCGACCTGGAGGCAGAGGCCCCAGAATGGTGTGGGATCCAAGGGGGACCTCGGCTTGGGGTGACAGCGCTTCTCTCTTTGCCCATAAAACGACACTTTCTTTTATTTTCTTTCTAAACAGAAATGATTTCTTCTGTGTTACTTGGTCGCTCAACCAGGAAAGAGGAACTCTTTCTACTCTTTATCATCTACTATTTACTCAGTGCAAAATGCAGTGCCCAGCGCCTGGAAAGTCCCGCGAGCAAACTGGAAATTCTGGCTCCTGGGGGGATCTGTTCACAGAATTTTATTTTCACTGGTTGTCGAGAGAATCTTTAAGATTGCCTAGTTTCGGGTTTCCATTTTTGTGTGTTTTATAGTTTTATGGTATTAAAAGAACTGCAAATTTGTGTTAGTGCAGTGAGATTAAGATAATCTTTTTCTTTTTTTCTTGTTCCCTTTCTTATTTTGGAAAACAAAACATGCTAAGGGAAAAATGAATATCAGAATAAAATATCCATAAAATAAACATTTTTTAAAAATAAAAAACGTGTCAGTGGGGCCGAGTGTTTTGGGGCGAACTTGTCAGGGGTGTCAGTGAGAGAAATATGAAGCAGAAAGAAATAGTCCTTCTAACCTGTACAGCTTGTCCTAGAATCATTAATATACATTCTCTAGAATGCTTCCCACATGCATGGGTGACCCTGGCAGTGACCTTTGCAAGACAGCTGGTCGGGGAGAGTTTCCCGCCCCAAGCCCCTCACTGGGATCCCAGCCTCCTCCCCACCAGCAGTGTGGGTCCCTTCATAGAGTGGGTGCTGGTTGGTCAGTCACTCACTCCCCCAGGACAGGTGGTCTGTGAAGGCAGGACCCCTGGGCACCTGGGTCCAAGTCAAGCCAGAGAGCTGTGGCAGGATGGCAGGTGAGCTGAGAGTGGCTGGACGTGGGGCAGACAGGCTGAGAGCCTGAGCCGTGCAGGTACCACGTGGCTGCCCCACCAGAGCCGGCGACCCTGGAGAGTCCCCTGGACACCCTGCCTCCGTTTTCTCTGTCAAACAGGAGGATAACAGTGACTCGAATCACGACCTGCCCCTTCTCAGTCTGAGAACCCCTACAGTGAGCTGCCCTGCTTGCAGAAAGAGCAGTCGAGGGAAGGAACAGCCCCCGCAGGAGGGGAAGGGGGTGCTGTTCTCAGCTGCTCAGGACAGACTCTCAGGAAACAACTGCCCCGCATCTCCACATGTTCCGTTCCGCACTTTTGGAAAATCAGCCCCTGGATTCGAAGAGTCCCTCGAGCCGGTCGCACCCCACTCAGCTCACTGGGGGTGGGGAGCCAGCCATGCTCACAGGCGCTGGCCTTGGAATCCCTTGACTGGGCACAGGGATTGTTCTCAGATGGCACTGAGTGCTTTCCGAGGCATTTACAAGTGTCATTCTCCCCAGGAGCTTCGCACACCACACCCATTTATCATGGAGAGTCGGGCAGAGGGACAGGGCCAGAGCAGAGGCGCCCCGCCAGCACCCCGTCAAACCCGCAAACCGCACGGGACACTCCTGGCCACCCCCCGAGTCCAGCAGACTCAGGCCTGGCCTCCGGAGCCGGCCACCCCCCGCTCACCCTCCTGGATGCTCCCCAGCCTCTGGCCCCACCCCTCGCATGGCTCCTGCTCCTTTCCTCAAACCGAGCCTGCCTGGCAACCCCAGAGTAGCCTATGTCCACTCCCGGGCACGGGGGTCACTGCACCGTGGGCCTGGAGGCAGAACGGCCTCCCGCACCCCAGAGCCAGGCCCCGCACCTGTCTCGCACTAGACGAGTTCTCCCACCAGGAACGGGTGCTCCCGCGCCTCCACTCTGGCCCTGCCCTGGGACCCAGGTGTGCCTGACAGAGAGGGAGGTGAACACCTGGAGCCCCTCTCCACAGAAGCACTGCTGTTGGTGCGTGGCTCTGAGCGGGCCTCAGGCCTCAGGCAGGTCTGAAAGGGGTGTGGACCCCCTGCAGGCTGTCCACTTATGGTTCTTTGGGCCGATGCACGCACTACTGGCCTGGTTGTTCAGCCATCGTGGACCTCCAGGCATGAAGCCCAGTCGTCACCTCAGATTCCCTCCTCCGCGTCCCCCTCTTCCTCACTCCCCTGGTCACCGCCACCGTCTCAGCCTGCCTCCCAGTCACCAGCCCCAGCTCTTGCTCTTAATCCAAAGCCTCCGCTGTCTGCCCGTTCTGTGCAAAACAAGGCCCAGGTCCTGGGTCTGGTGCTGAAAGACTCCACGGGCTGACCTCTGTCTGCATCTGCTGGGTCCTGGAGGGTCCGGACCAGACTCGCGGCTGTCCAGATGCACGTGTGCGGGGACAGGAAATGAACACGCGGCCCGCGCTTCCCGCCCAGAAGCCATCTGAGGCCTGCGGCTACTCCCCGGACAGCGTGGTCCCAGGACCTCCCACTGAGCAGGCCTGGCGGGAAAGAACAGGAAGCCGCTCTGGGCTGCCCGCCACCCACGAGGAGAAGCGGGCCTCAGCCCCCGCGGGTTCATGCATTCTTCAGAACAAGAGCTCCTGAGCATCCCTCTTCTGGGGACAAAGCAGCTCTGCTTGAGAAACCCCAGGAGAAGCTCCATCGTGAAGGGCACCCAGGAACCCTGGGGACCAGATCTGCCCTGGGGTGGCGTGGGGTGCCGGGGGCGGGGGAGCTCAGCCACGACCCTCAGCAGCGCCGGGGAAGGGAGGCGGTGACACGGCGGTTTAACCTCGTGGTCCCCGAGCCGGCATTGCATGGAGGTTTTGGTGGGAGCTGGGCCCTGGAGGTAGGTGGACCATCCCATGTCGACAGCTGGCAGAGCCCCCCAAGGCTCCAAGGAGTGCCCGGGGCTAAGAACTAGACGGTCCCCTCCCTGGCATGCTCCCCCACGCTCAGCGTCGAGGCCGTAGGGGCAGAGCGTCGGGTGCGCTTCTCCTGACACGACTCCAGCTCAGCTGGGGACACTGATGCAAGACTGGGGCTGGGCGTCACGATTAAATGGCTCTTGTGGATATCTCTGCAGCAACTTTCTCCTGAAAGTCTTGGTGTCCAGGTGAAGCCAGGCTCGGCCCCCCCCCGTCCCAACCGGCCCCCTCTGGACACTCATGTGGCTTGTCATCCAGCTCCAGCGCGCTGTGTGCCTGCGATGTCGCCCAGGTGACTGGTTCCATCACGGAAACTTACCTGCGAGTGCTTGTCAGTATTTACTCATGCCTGAAAAGCAGGTAGAAGGCCATTTGCTTTCTCTCTGTTTATGGAAACGGTTTTAAAAATAACTGAATTGTGTCAGCATTAAAAAAAAAAAGAAAGAGAAACGGCCTAATGCAACAGCGCTGGATTGACTGGCCCTGAATGAGTCCAAAGAGTTGGGGGCTTGAAGGGACCTTGAGAACCATGAGCCAATGCCTGCCTTCTTTCCAGGTGAGGCCAGGCTCAGAGGGGCCTCCTGTAGCAGGGAACGCAAGCAGGAGCCGAGACAAGTCAGGTGTCCAGGGGACGAGGCCGCAGAAACTTCCAGAGACCAAACGCCTTTCCCAAGGTCACACAGCAGCTCTGGCATTTGAGTCCAAGTTCAAAATCACTCCAGAGCCTTCGCTGATCTCCTGAAGATGTCTCCCCAGACGCTGTCTGCCTGAAGTCCTGTTCCTCCCACCTTCCAGATCGATTCTAGTGCCCAGGG